AGGTGAGAAATGGTAAGGTATGAGATTACGTTGCCTCCTCATTTAAAAACTAAAATTGCTCAAAGGAATGAGGCATGAACAGCATTAACCATTATTAATGTGCTTCAGAGAAAGAGATTTCCTACAGTGTGCGACATACATGAGAGATGAATCCTACCACTTGTTTGTTGCTGAAGACCAGTCCATGATTAGCATTGCTAAAGCTTGATCAGAGTCAGTTCTCATCATGAGACTCTCTGTGACCCTATTCACTCTCCAGCTTCTCCAATCGGCACTGAAAGTGCCCGAGTTGCGCCTTTTAATGGCACAAAGAGCCCTGGGGCAATCTGCTTGCTGGCCCTGACACAACCTTGGAAGTTCCATAAAGAGTAAAGCCGAGAGTCCGGCTGTGGCAGCTGGTCAATTGCTCAGAGCGGTTTCCTTTTCGTGAGCTCCCAGGTGTGATGTTAGCATGTACGATACAAGGACAGCATTCATGTCAGTACCTGATCATCTCTGTTCACCACTAAACTCACTGTTGCTGACCACTCTGGCCCATCAGTTGTGAGTTGCACAGAGTTTTGGTCTCCTGATTGTCATGAAGGTGAATGGCCCTTGCTCCAAACATGAGGCGATAGCATAGATTTACAGTGGGCTTACCGTGCAGTAACAGGCGATCCTTTCAATGGTCTGTGCTAGTCTTCATGCTTCCATGTGGATCTCTTTCTCTCTTTTTCTCTCGCTGTCTCTCTCTCTCTCTCTCTCTCACTCTCTTTGTCTTTCTCTTTCTCTCTCTCTCTCTCTCTCTCTCTCTCTCTCTCTCTCTGTCTGTCTGTCTCTTTTTCGCTCACTTGCTCTTGCGCTTGCTTGCTCTTTCCCGAGCTCGCACTTTCTCACTCTCTCTCTCTTTTTGCTCTTTTTCTTTTTTCTGTCTTTCCCCACGCTTTTCCCTTTTGGGCTGAGAGTTAGTATTTGACAGTGGTTATTTGCTGACAGTACAGTTCATTCACAAATGAGGCAGCTGCACACCCATCACGAACAAACCCCACTATCTCACCCACTTCCCCACCCCAATCCCTCCAGCATATACCCAATTCAAGGCCAACATTGAATACAAGTACTCTGCTGTGAAATATTTGGGTGTGGTAATTAAATTTCACAATGTTTGCAGTGACAATGCAATGGAATGAACATCAGACCAGGGCATTGGTTTCTGCTGTCTTCCCCAAACATTAGTGCTGGCAGCTGCTCAGAAAGGCTAAAGAAAACCTGAAGAAGGGTCTAGGCCCGAAACATCAGCTTTCCTGCTCCTCTGATGCGGCTTGGCCTGCTGTGTTCATCCAGCTCTACACCTTGTTATCTCAGGTTCTCCAGCATCAGCAGCTCCTACTATCCAAGAAAACCCATGGCCAGTTTCAGTAACTTGTTGCAATGTCACAAAATACCCCACGGCCGACAGTCATAAAAGGGTGAGGCAGGCTTAGAGGGGCTGAATGGCTTGTATTTGAAGTAACCAGCATGCAAGGAGGAGTAGAAGAAGGGTTAGGAGGAACAGAGCAGGTTGGTTTGTTTTTAAACAGGGGGAAGAATTGAAGAGAGTGCTGAAGGGACAGACGCAACCAAACTTGGGTCATGCTAAGAAGTACTGCCTGGGTGAAGAGAGAGACTGGCACACCAAGGTGGCAGAGTGAAGGCAGGAATTGGAAGAATTCAGTGGCTCCAACGTTTTGAAATCTTCCTTTTTTGTTTCCCAGATTCCTTCCGTGACCTTTGCCCTCCCTGGTTCTGTAATCTCTTGTAGATGTGCATCCCTCTGAGATGTCTGCCCTGTGTCCTTTGGGCTGTACGGGAATGGTTTTTATCTGTCGTATGTGTGTGTGTGTTGCAGAAGCCAAGCTGCACGGTGGCTGAGAAATCGTTTGCCATTGGGTCGATCGCGGAGACGGTACAGGCGATGGGGCCAGCGACAGTACAGTTTGTTCCCCGGCTGCTGCCAATGTTGCAGGCTGGTGCACGGGACACAGATGACGAGGTGCGCAGCAATTCTGTCTTCGGCATTGGCGTTCTCGCCGAGCAAGGGAAAGAAGCCATCTTCGAGTATCCTGGATTCCGCTGCCGAATGGAAACGTGTGTGTGAGAGATAGAGAGGTCAGCGGGTTGGTTGCAGGAGCTATAGGCTATAGACTATAGACTCTAGACTCATAGACAGCACACAACATTGTGTCTGCTCTGGTCAACAAGGATCTGACTGCTAATCCGAGCTGTTGCCCCATCACCCTGTAGCCTGCAGAAATGCAAGTGAATATAAATGTTAAATGCTTAGACATTCCAAATGTTTGAGTCGACTACGCTTTCAGGTGTGGGTTTCAGACTCCCACCATCCTCTGAATGGAAGAGAAAGTCTCTCCTTAACTCTTCCCCTAGCCGTTTACCTCTCCCCTTCAATCTATGCCTCTTGGTTATTGACTCTTCCTTCCTACCTAACCAATCCATGGCCCTCACGATCTTCCCGCACCTCTATTGCATCCCTTCTCAAACTTTCCCTGCTCCAAGGAGAAACAGTCCCAGCCTATCTGATCTTTTCTCAATCCAGACTCTGCAGCCCAGGCACCATCCTCTCAAATGTGATCACGTCCTTCCTGTAATGTGCTGAGCAGACCTGCACACAGTGCTCGAGCTGTGGCCTGACCAATGTTTTAAACAGTGTAACTTCCTTGCTGTTATATACGATGCCTTGTCTAATAAAAGCAGACAGCCCATGTGACTTCTTCACCACCTTCTGCTACCTTCATGGATCTCTGGATATGTACACTGAGGTCCCTCTGATCTTCAGTAATGTTAGTGCTAGCTGCTATTATTATCATTGTTAGCTATGTTCCAGTCTCCTGGCATTCCCTCTGAAAGGTTGTGCTGATAGGGGAACGAAACACGCTTGCAGTTTTGCCAGGGGTGTCTGAGAAACAATCTCCAATCAGTCCTTAACGTTTGTCTCCAGCCACTACCCGTCCCTTCTGAACATTCTGTCATCTATCATAGCCCGAGAGCAAAATCGGCGTGTGGTGGACAACGTGTGTGGGGCTGTTTCCCGTATGATGATGACGAATCTCGCTGGAGTCCCTGTGGAACAGGTACTGCGCACTTCCTTTGTACACCCAGTCGTGGCGTGGGCATGGGGGTCCGTGACCTGTGTTGAGTTGCTCGGTCCCCACTGGGGAAGTTTCTGTTTGATGTACGTGAGCTTTACTTCCTGAACTGGTCAGGCGACCCCCTCTGTGGTGTCTGGAACAGGGGATGGAGAGGCACTGTCCTTTGCCTGTGGAACATTGACAGTCTAACCTGACAGACGGTGCATGAGACTGCAGGTGAGGAGCTGGAAGCAATGCCTCCTGACAGAGCAATGCCTTTGGGAGAGACTGAGCTCAGCAACGTTATCTACCTCTGGCTCTTGTGAAAAGTGTGCTGTGAAAATGTCCCAACACATCAGCAGCTGCTATATCCTTCTTACCCCCTCTCCCTCTCTGACAGGGGGAAAGATGTCAGGTTTTGACACTAAATTGACTTGATGGGGCTCGTGGTTCAGGGACCAGGCTTGGGCCAGGATCACAGTGATCTGACCCTCGGAAAACTTCTCAGGAGAACTGCCCCACGGCCTGAGAGGCTGCAAGGATTAACGAAACTTTTTTGTGCACTTTCTCGAAAGGTATTTCCTGTCCTGGTGCGGTCACTCCCGCTGAAAGAGGATCTAGAAGAAAATATAACAGTGATGAACTGCATCACTTTCTTGTACAAGAACAATCCCAATCAGGTAAGGCAACCAGTCAGTGGCATCCTTGCAGCCCTTCGTGGTATATATACCCGTCGGGACGCGCTGTAACCGGGAGAGGGACGCCCGTCGGGACGCGCTGTAAGGTGCTCACATCGGATTTTGCAATAGTATGATGGTCTCAAGTGGAGACCACATGTTTATTTGTCTGTGTATTTTTTTATTATGGTCTGAAATGGGAGAAAATCAGTTTTAAAAGTGAAGTTTTATTTGAGGGATTGCTACATTCCTTCAAAGGAAGTAACCCGACCCCTATTGTTCGCATTGTGTAGACAGCTGTTGGTTTCAGCAGTAGTGAATGGTTTGCAATCCTATTAACCAGTGGAAGCATCCAGACAATGAAGATTGCAAAGCAGTATTCAGATCACAAGTATAATTGCAGCAAATCTGTGGGCAGCGACCACAGGACTGTTCTTTCAGTCTTTCCCTCTGCCCATCACACTTTTTTTTTTGTTTCTGTCTGTGGCTGTCTGTATAAGGGGGTCTTTACAAGGGCCTTTAACTTGTAGACTTCTGTGTTATCAGTTCTTAAATGCTAGTGAGAAAATGTCGAAGCAGTAGTAGGCCATTCTGCTCATGCCTCTGCTTTGCCATTCAATGGGATCGTGGCTGATCGGATAATCCTCCACTCCACTTTCCTGCCTTCTCCCCGTAACCGTTGATTCTCTTTCTGATTAAAAATCTGTCTCAGCCGTGAATATCCTCAATGCCCCAGCCCCGACAGCACCCCCCTCCCTGCGGTAAAGACCCCACAGACTCACCCACCCCCCTCCTTGGACAGAAGGAATTCCTCTCCATCTCTGTCTTCAATGGGTGACCCCCTTATTCTGAGATGATGCCCCCTCTGGGTCCTAGACTCTCCCACACACCCTCTCCACATCTCCACCTGTCAGGTTTCCCCCCGCCCTCCATCCCAAAAGGATCTTGTACATTTCAATTGGGTTGCCCCTCATTCTCCTAAATCCCAACGGGTGCAGGCCCCAACCGACTCACCCCCACCTCCCTCATCAGACAGTCCCTCCGTCCCCAGGATCAGCCCAGCGAACCCTCGCTGGACTGCTTTCAATGCCAGTCTATCTTTCCATAGATAAGGGAACTAAACCTATTTCCAGTATTCTAGCTCTGTGTAAAACATGAGAACTGGCAGCCGAAATCGATATTTCAGCCCCTCGATTCTGTTCCACCATTCAATGTAATCATAGTTGGCCTCTACTCCACTGCCCATAACCCTTCAACCCAATTCCTAATTTAAAAACGTATCTCTTCTTCAAACTAATTCAGTGTCCCACCATCCACCGTACTCTGCAGGAGTGAATTCCATTGATCCTTGAAGAGAAATCTTTCCTCCTCGCCTCTGTTTTACATCTGCTAAATTGTTAAGAGTCCATTATTAAACGCAGTGATAACAGGACATTAGGAAATTCAAAATGAGTTTCTAAAACAACGACCTTTCATTGTGGATTGTCCTACATGAGAAAACATCCTCTCCACATTTACTTTGTCAATCCCCTTCAGCAATTTCTATATCTCAATTAGATTTCCTCTCATTCTTCTAGAGAATATAGGTCTAAACTACTCAATCATTCTCCTAACCTATCCATATCCATTTGTAAATTTCTTCTTTCTTCATGCCAGTTTACTTTCCTACCTATTTTGTTGGCATCTGCAAATTTGCCTATGGTACTTTCTATCCCTGCATCCAAGTCATTAATAATAAAGGGTGTAAATTGTTAGAGCCAAAGGACTGAACACTGTGGCACCCCATTTGTTACATCCTGCCAATCAGAAACAATTCCATTTATCCCGACTCTCTGCTTTCTGTTGGTCAGACAATCCTCTATGCAGGCTAATCAATTATCCCTAACCCTGTGTGATCCTCTGTTGTGTATTAGACTTCTATGTGGCACCTTGTCAAGTGCATTCTGGAAGTCCAGATATACCAGATCTACAGGATCCCCGTGTCCATTATTGCTTGTGACATCTTCAAAAAACTCTACCAAATCAGCCAACCGCGATTTATCCTTTGTTAAACTGTGCTGACTGATGGATTGTATTTTGAATTTCCAAATGTCCTGTTATCACTGCCTTTAGTAATGGACTCTTAACAATTTCCCCAACACCAGACATTAAACCGACTGGTCTGTAGTATCCTACGGTATGCCTGTCTTTCTCCCTTATAGCATAGAGCTATTAGCATATATTCCAGGCCGTTGGAATGTTATAACCAATGGACCCACTATCTCTGCTGTTGCTGCTGGGACCTTTAACACCCCTGTATATAGACCATGACATAGCATTGTCTGCCTTCCTTTCCTATCTATAAGCGGAGTCCGTTTATTTGTAGTAACTAGTCATGCTTGTTAAACACAGACCTGGACTGTGCTTTCTGTCAACCTGAGTGTAAATGACAGATCACTTTGGGAATCCAGTGTATTTTTAAGAATCTTTTCACTTTCCGGGAATGACGTGGTTTGCTTGCCAGCACACTACCCCAGTGAAGGGGTAACACACTGAAGCAGAAAATGTCTTTTAGCCAATCCAACATTTATCTATCCCATTCATCGTTAATCTTTCTGAACACAGGTCATTCAACATTTGCAACACTTGTTGGCTGTTTTTGGTGAAGTGATTGGAACAGATCAGCTTAAAGAAGGTACAGTGATTTCCTTCCCAAATTCTCTTCGAAGGCTAGTAATGTTTCACTCGTGTTTAGCACATGTGTAGGGTTGCCATGCTCATTAACACTTTTGTGTCAAATTATGTGTCTGCCATCTACCTTATGAATGTTCTTGTATCTATCACGTATCTCAGTGAGATCGAGGCTGATTTAATCCTCTTGACCTCCACTTTCCTGCCTTTCCCCCCTCGATTCCCCTTCCTGATTTAAAAACCTCGCCCACTCTCTATCTCAGCCTCGAATATCCTCAGTGCCCCAGCCCCCACCTCTGCGGTAAAGAACCCCACAGACTCACTCCCCCCTCGGAGAGAGGGAATTCCTCCCCATATCTGTCTTCAATGGGCAACCCCCTTATTCTGAGTTGATGCCCCTCTGGGTCTTAGACTCTCCCACGCAAGGTGGGGGAGGGGAGAGACACCCTCTCCACATCTCCCCCTGTCAGGTCCCCCCCACCCCCCACCCCCGCCCCCCTCCACCCCCACCCCCCAACAAGGATCTTGTACGTTTCAATCGGGTCACCTCTCATTCTCCTGAACCCCAACGGGTACAGGCCCCAACCAACTCAATGCAGCTTAGTTCCCAGCTTTGATCTCCATGTAACTGTGTCTCCCCAATGGCTATGAAATGCTTGATTTTGTACTCATTGCATACCTCAGCAATGAGATTTTCACTGTCGTGTAAACATATGTTTCAAAAAGTAACTGTGTCAAGTTTCCTTCTGTTTGATTCAGAAAGCCAGAATGCCTTGGTGATGTTATTAAAGGATATCCCACAGCGATTCCCCCAGGAATTTCAGACGGCCCTGATGGCGATTCCTCAGGAAGCTGCCAAGAAAATCTCAGCAGTCGTGTCCTCCTGAGGTAAGAGGCCGTCGAAATATTTGCAACCGTAGCTCCGCAATCTTGTGAAGAGGTTATCAAAGGCTGTGACCTCAAATGAAGCATGTCCAGATTCGGGTTTCGGTCTCCCATATTTGGGAATGGGCGAGTCCATTGTGTTGGTAAATCTCTTCTCCCTGTCTCTCTGAGTTAATTTCTTTCACTGCTGGGACCTGGAGTTAAAGCCAATACTGAGGACTTAACGCCTGTACCTTGTCTTAAGGTATGCAATCTGAGCATCACCCTCTCCCCCACATCTTCCGCCCCCCCGCCAACGGAGAACTCAACTTAACATCCTTTTTGGTAGTGTACCTTGCGTAACATCTCTGCCTCAATTTCGTATCTCATCCAGCGGAAAACCTGCTGGACAGCGCGGCGCCGACCCTCCGACAGCGCGGCGCCGACCCTCCGACAGCGCGGCGCCGACCCTCCGACAGCGCGGCGCCGACCCTCCGACAGCGCGGCGCCGACCCTCCGACAGCGCGGCGCCGACCCTCCGACAGCGCGGCGCCGACCCTCCGACAGCGCGGCGCCGACCCTCCGAC